GGAAGGAGATAGGAGACGAGGAGGAGACATTGGACACGGAAGGGTTCGGGGGGTTCAAGAAGAAAGTCAAGGAGATGCTAGAAAGTAGGGAGGAGGCAACCCTTCGGAAGAAGGTACGAAGCGAAGACCACTTGGAGATATGAGGGAAGTTGAAAGAAGGGATAGGGATGAAGAGTTACTTGGACGGCCCCATGGACTACGCAAAAAATTCTTTGCTACTGCTGCTGTGTTCTGTTGTGCTTCGTACACAACCATAAGGAGGACTCACGCGGGTGAGGGCCTGTAACGCACGAACATATATTGTGGAAATTAAGTAACAAATATTTGGCATCACTTCGATCAGGTTGGACCCTTTGAGAAGCCATATGCCGGGTTTAAGATAGGTTTTCTCGTAAACGGAACGTACGGTTTAAGAGAAAACCTCTCTTAAACCGTATTAAGAGAGGTCTTCTTGGTCCTGCGCACCCCTCTCGTAAACCGTAGCCCCCACTGTATTGGAAGCACAGCATTTTTACAATTGTACTCTCTCTCTGTTGAGTGCGATGGCGGTCAATGTATCTTCAGTAATCTACTCAAATGAATGCTGCCTTTTCTCCTCGGTATTCAAATGTTTGTGGTTCATGAGAGGGAGAGAGAGAGAGAGAGAGAGAGAGAGAGAGAGAGAAAGAGAGAGAGAGAGAGAAGCAGACGAAAGTGGCGTGCTGCTACTACCACCCCCTGCTAGAAATATTATGCGTACAACTCCTGAGACCACTGTTAATGGCGGCGGAATCTCAATCGTAATCTTGATATTTGGTAAAGGGGGGGGGGTCGATTCAAGAAATATCTCGGATGTACACTTGTTATGGAGTCCAAATCTTGCCTCAGAATCTTGCCAAGATTTGGAATGAAACCAAAGAGCCCCCTTTTGCCCAAATATTTCGCCAAGATTTGGGCGCTGGCAGCCTTGTCAAAATCTTGCCGACGGGGGGGGGTCAATAGCGCCGCACCGTCCCAGACCGTCCACATAATCAGCGAGTGCGACCTGAGTTCTTGACGTATCGCTCCCATCAAGGGCTCCGACGAACCCCATGGTGAAGGGTTTGCTGTTCCACACGTTGGTTGTTGGTTGTCGGTCGGGACACGAGCGTAAAAAAAATCATTTCGCATCACACCAAACGTGGAGACTCCCAAACGTCACGAGAGGGCAAAAAAGCCGAAAAAAAGCCGCGTTCTGACAGAGGCGCGACAACAGCGCAATTGATTTCTCGCTCCCTAGGCCACCGATTGACGCCAAACCGGTCAGGGTGTGCTCTCTGTTCCTTGTTCTCGCTCGGACTGGCGTGGCTCAGGAGCTCGCAAGCTCAATCGACGGAAATCGTTGTCTGCGTGTGCGCACGCCATCCGTTGAAAAATTCGGAGTGGCGTGGCTCAGGAGCTCGCAAGCTCAATCGACGGAAATCGTTGTCTGCGTGTGCGCACGCCATCCGCCGAAAAAAGTTTTCAGGTGCTCAACAAGTAAGTCTATTCGCAAGTGAATAACAAGGGGGAAAAAATCAGTTCGAAAAAGCAAAGTGACGCCATGCACAATTCTCGCTCCATCGATTGAGCTTGCGAGCTCCTGAGCCACGCCACTCCGAGAGAGAGCAAGGAACGGAGATCACACCCTGACCGGTTTGGCGTCAATCGGTGGGCTAGGGAGCGAGAAATCAATTGCGCTGTTGTCGCGCCTCTGTCAGAACGCGGCATTTGTTCGTTTTTTTTGCCCTCTCGTGACGTTTGGGAGTCTCCACGTTTGGTGTGATGCGAAATGATTTTTTTTACGCTCGTGTCCCGACCGACAACCAACAACCAACGTGTGGAACAGCAAACCCTTCACCATTGGGTTCGTCGGAGCCCTTACTGGGAGCGATACGTCAAGAACTCAGGTCGCACTCGCTGATTTTGTCTATCGAGGTGTCCACAACCCCGAAGTAAGATCAAGATGCAGTTTTCCATACACACGTACATGCAATAATCTTGATCTTGGGGGGGGGTCGCTTTTATCTTGCCAAGGTCTTGAAGAATCAGAATCAAGATCAAGATTTGTTTGCCATAAACAGTGGTCTGACCAGCGCACATAGTTTGGCCGCCGGGGTATACACAACTAAACTGCTAACAACTCGCAGTTTACTTCCTCGGACAGACATACTCCTATCATAGGAGCATGCTGATATGTACTTCGATGAAGTATATACATAGTCTAGTCTACGAAGTTTTAGTGAAGTTTGCTACATGTAGTCTAGTGCTTGGCCCTCTTGAAGATTTCACAGCAGTTCACGGGAAAGCAGTCGCTCGTGGCCATACACGCACGACCCACGGCGCCCATCGCCTTGCTTACACATCACCCTGCTGACACAGCAATTCGTGGGTCAACCATACTACAGGAGTGAGATAGATATCCTGGCGTGCGCCACGGGCGGAATCAACTCAAAACACACACGGTCGCCCCGGTGGTCTAGTGGGTAGCCTCGCAGCCTGCTAAGGGCCAGGTCANTTTTTCTCACTAAATAAATCCTGGTCTAGGATGAAAGCGACGCGCTGCAAAGCTCGTTTGTTAGTAAACCATAATCGACTTCGTAAGTCGCGAGGGAAGGGATTGCTGTACCCTTCTCGCGATAAAAATACCTCAGGCATGAACCGCAGGAGGGGGGTCCACCCCCCCCTCCTATGTGACCCCGGTTGGGTCATCTAGCCAGTAGAAGTGGAGGATAGGGGCCAGAGGGGCAGACGGCAGAGTCCAATGATGGGAGAGAAACAAACAAACAAAAAAACACAAAAGAACGCCGCATTCTTGGTTGCCAGAATATCTACACTCTCCGTGGCTTGTCGTTCTGGAAAAAAATATTTGTTTTAGTCTACAGGCGGCGTGCACGGCAGTAGTACAGGCGGGTAAGTCCACAGACAGACGAACCTTAACCCTAACCTCTCCGTCGTACAGGGTATGTGCTGCTGTATCTGATGAAATTTGCACAGCTGTCGTCAGTCTGTCGAACCGATACAACAACAATTCAGCGGCGAGATGACGGGAGTAGACAATAGGCTGGGCCTGCAAACCGACGACGGCGGGTTGTCAAACAACGCCCCTAACGCATAGACTAGCCATGCTGTGCATTGAAAATAATCAGTAAAGGTCCGGATGTTTCCATGACAAGTAGTCAGTAGTCTCGGTAGACTTCTCCACACAACCTCTTCTATTGTTGTATGCATATGTCACCGCGTGCTTGTGTGCGTATGCATACCACGCGATGGAGGGTAAATGCTTTCACAACACAGAATGGGCTAGATCAGAGAAGGTCGATAGTCTAGACATGAAGTCTAGACTATATGCGTGTGATGGTGGTGCAAAGGGGCTCCTGAACACGAATGTGTATGTACCGCTTACGCCGTGCTTGCTGAGGTAAGCCACCACTGATGACTCTTGATCGATATGGGGGTTGCGTGTGGGTACGCGCATCACCCCTTGCGTCAAGGGCACTGCAATCAATCCCTCATCTGCTAAAAAAGCACATGGGTACAAAGCCGTTTCATCTTGCGCAGCAGTCGTGTGCATTCTACAATTGTATCCATATACTACAATAACATCAAAAACACCGCCCAAAACTGGAATTTCCTCGAGGCAGACCAACATTTCAAAAGTTCCCGATCATGTATGTGTTGTTTGTTAATGTTGGTTGCGGGCCTCTTGCTTCTCACCTGCCGTTAGCGCAAGCTTCGCCATCGCACGAGTGGAGGTCCACGGCGAAGCTCCCAGGGGAACCAACGGCACCCTCCCCATCGTCCTCGTCGTCCCCCTCCGAGCCGTCGCGGTAGAGCCACTTCGCCGTGACCGCTTCCCCCGGAGCAACGCTAGCAACCTCGAAGACCTCTATCCATGAACCATGATCACCCGATGATGATGTGACCGAAAGGTCGGGCTCCACCTCCTCCTCCTCCTGCTCGACGCTGAAGCCAAAGGTGCACGCAAACACGGCGCTGGGGTCGTCCTTGAGGCTCACCCTCACGAGGTACACGCCCGGCTCCGCCGTCGAGGGCACCGTCAGGTCGTAACTGCCGTCGCTGTCTACGCACCCGAACGTAGTAGTAGTACCAGCGTCGTCGCACAATGATATGGCCAGAGGATTGCCCTCGCTGTCGCACTCGCATTCTCCCGCAGCGGCGCAGGGCTCCAGCGAGATCTCGTACACCCGCAGGTCCCCCGTGGTGGTCGGCTCGCCATCGTCGCTCGCGTACGACCAGGTGGCGGTGAAGTCCCCGCCCAGATAGAGCGGCGTGGCGCTGGTCGCGACGTCTGAGATGACGGCCCCCAGAGCGGCCGGTGATACGTCAAAAATAATAGCTCCCAGCATCAGGGACCACAACAGCAGCAGTGGTGCTGATTGCCGCCGCCACGAGTATCCTCCTCGAGACATTTCTTGCTCGCCCTGCTGTGTCCCGCCGCCCTCTTCAACGCAACGCGCGAGAGACGCGAAAGACAGAGAGGCTTGAATATGCGCTACCAGCGAAAGCAGGTCGGTATTATTTTAGGTGTGTGAGCTCGGGCCTCCAGGTTGGTGGTTCTCCGCTTCCGATCTGACGAAAAGACACCGTCCCGCGGAGGGCGGGTCACGAGCCGCCCGGAAAAAAAAAAGTATCCCACGGGCCAGAGCCGCGCGGTGGAATGAATCGCGCCTGTGGGCCAAGGAGGTTGAATGCATGCAGATCCCTTTCGTTTGCTGATGATGGTTGACGGTTTGGAGGGTGGTGCGTGAGGGTGTGAGATCGAATGCTCTATCCTGCATGACGTCATGGTCTTTTATGAAATTCTTCTGGAGCGTTCTCCGAAAGTGGATACCGCTCGTGTCCTTCTTCTCATGCTCCCACTTGTTGTTCTTGTTGCTGTTGTTGTTGTTGTCTGCGTGTTAAAAACCGTTCCGATCTCTCTCTACCCAGTACCTTCGTATGTCCCGTACTCACTGATCCAACACTCGACGCGGTCGATTCCCGTCGTCACAGGTCAACTTACCCTAAAGCTACACTCGAATAAACTGGCCCGGAGGGTCCGCAAGTCAATAGAAATCAACGACAGATATTCTGGAGTCCTCCACTCCATCTGCGCGCTATGCGAAGTAACAACTGAGGGCGGGTTCCGAGCTAAAGACGAATCACCTTTCCCACCTCGGAGAAGAAAAAAAAAAAA